GTGTAGGGCAGCGCCAATTAAACTCTTTTTAAAAAATATTTTATTTATTATTTTTATTTTATGTGTATGCATGTATCGCCTGCATGTAGGTAAGTGCACCTGTGTTGTGCAATGCCCAGAAGAGGCTGTCGGATCCCCTGGAACTGGAGTTACAAACAGTTGTTAGCTGCCATGTGGGTACTGGGATTCGAACCCGGATCTTCTGCAAGAACAGTCAGTGTTCTTAACCACTGAGCCATCTCTTCAGCCCAGACTCTGGCTTATGTTTTAATGAAGAATTATTTGAAGATTCCTTGAGGTCTCAGTAGAGGTGCTTGTGTATATCAGGGATTTGTTTTATAAAACAATGGGGCATACCAAAACAGAAAACAAAACTGTAAATACAGCCTCTATTAGCATTTGGGGACTATTCTTCCTGTTAGTTTTGTTTTGTTTTTTGGTGACGTTTGTGATAGTGCTGCCTTTTGAGGTTTTGATGTAATAGATTCTTTGAAATGACTTTCCTATGTGTCGTTCATTGATCTCTTAATAATAAGTAATGATATCTGGCTCATTAAGCATGTAATTATTACTATAAACTGACCAAATACAATTTCTTTAAAAATCCTTTATTATGTGCATTAGGGTCTCTGCAGAAGTCACATTCTGGAAACACATGGCTATCGTTAAACAAGATTTCTTTGAGAACTTCCTAGATGTATAAAACCCAAGGGCTGTATTTGGTCTTGGTCTGTTCTGGTAATCAACATTGTTTGTCAAGGGCGTGTTTGTCTCTTTGTGTTTATAACATTATACTTTCTGACTGGTTGACAGCAGTAGTCACAGATCTTCTTGAAGTGGTTTAAGTTAATCAGAAATGATCATAGGTCATGTAAGACATTTAATGACATCTTTTCTAAACTTGAAATGGCCTATGGAACCTTTGCTGTAGTGTTAGGGCCATAATTAAAGTGTGTTATCTTTAGGGTCTTTCAGCTCACATATCTATTCTGATTAGATTCCTGAAACAGAGAACCGTCCTCCTATTTCCTCCTTTACGTCCTTCATTTACAGCATGACAGAAATTTTCTGAGAATAATAATTTCAACTAAGAAAAATTCTGGAGTTAGGTGTGGTTGTGCATATTTGTAATCCCAACACTTGAGGAAGTTGAGGCAGGAGGATCACAACAAGTACAAGGCCAACTTGGGCTACAGAGTGGATCCCTGTCTCAGAAAGCAAAAATGATGGGGCTGGAGAGAAGGCTCAGTAGATAAGCAAACTGGCTCTTCTTGTGGAAGACCCTGGCTTGGTTCCCAGCACCCACATGGCAGCTAATGATCAGCCTGTTACTCCCATTCCAGGGTATCTAATGCTCCCTTCTGGTCTCTGCGGGCTTGCACATACATGGTACACCTACATACAAGCAAGCAAAACATTCATGCACATAAAAATAAATAAATAAATGAATAAATAAATAAATAAATAAATTTTATTTTTAGAAAGCAAGCAAGAAGAAAATTCTGGGAGAAAATGTTGCACTTACTGCTTTTAATGAGGACACTGAAATATTAAATACTGTGTGTTTTATAGTTCATTTTAGCTTTCCTTTGTCTAAAAGCTTGAACAATATCTTAGGGAATGGTATCTGATCTTCACTTGGAATTTTTGAAGATGGTTTTTAACCAGTGTAAGTATTTGGATAAAGGTAGTTGGTGACAGTTTCATTCTTAATTTGATAGTTTATAATTAAACGGACAGGAAGATAATAGCTTATGCATACTGAAGTTTGGAAATGTAAAATAGTCAAAAGAAGATAGAAAATAGACCTCATAATATAATAAATATTATGACCTAAATATAGACGCTGGGCATATCCATGTCACTCACAAGAAATATGTAGCCCAAGATTTTTGGAATACTAATTTAAAGCATTTTTAATATATTTATTTTGAGGGGTTGTACATGGCCATGTGCATCTGTGGAGGCCAGAGGACAACTTGTGGGAGTCAGTTCTCTCCTTCTACCATGTGTACCCTGGGGAATCAAACTCAGATTGTCAGGCTTAGCAACAAGTGCCTTTTCCCATGAGCTGGCTCACTAGCCTAGAGTACTAATTTTATTGAATACTGTATATGTTAGTTTTCTTGTTGCTGTGGTCAAATACCTGGCAAGAAGCAACTGAAGGGAGAAAAGATTTGTTTTGGCTCATGGTTTGAGCAATACAATCCATCATGATGGGGAGGCACGGTGGATCCATGGCAGCCAAAGTGTGCAGTAGCTGGTTACATTTACAGTCACAGGAAGCAGAGAGACCCAGAGGAACTGGAGCAAGCTGTAGTCCTCAAGACCTACCCCCAGTGGCCTGCTTTCTCCACCCCACACCTAGGTTCTGCAACCTTCCAGAACAGTGCCACCAACTGAGGAACAAATGAGCCCTCTGAGGACACTTCACTTCCAAACTGTAATAGTATTTAACATAGACTTTTACTGTAAAAGAGTGATTAAAAAGTAAAAACTGCTGACTATTGGTGTTTGATTGCTTAATTTTGAGCTCTGTTTGCAACATAGAATACCCTATATCACAAACCACTTTCTCATATTTATCAAGATAAAATACCTGCTGTTGTATCCAGGACTTCTTTTTGTAGCTAGGATATTTAGACAGACATGTTCTTTTTCTTTTTTTACATTTATTTATGTATTATGTATTTTATTTATTTTGTGTGTGTGCACATGTGTGAGTGTGTATGTATGGAGGTCAGAGGACAACTTACAGGAGTTTGCTTTCTCCTTCTCTACCATGTGTGTTCCAGGGATGGAGCTCAGGTTGCCAGGCTTGGCAGCAAGCACTCTACCCCCAAGCTGTCTCACTGGCTCCAGACATTTTCTTTATATCACCATTTCATGTATCAGTGTAGAATATAAAATCATGAGTCAGCAGAAGTGTAGTTGTAGATCTGTGTAGCTGCTGATATAGATTGAACGAATGCTAAATCTGTAAATGACATGAATCTGCTGAGCTTTTATCCTTGTTTTTTGTTCTTTATGATTAATGAATTGAAATTCACAGAATTAATTTAACTCAGAATCAGCCTTGGTTTTCACAAGGAATAGAAATTGTACAGTAGGACATGTCAGAAGTCTTTTTGCAGAATTTAAATTGGTATCCTCTTTTTATTACAGATTGTGAAAATCTCAAATAAAGCAAGCTTTTGGATAAGTGTGGAAATTTAATTTCCATTCAAACTTCTCTGAATGCTATTAGGTATGTATTTTAGATTACTGTTGGGAAACTAAACCTGTCTTCTTGTCATACTTTGTTCAGATTGCATCTTTCTTCAGCAACAATGTAGACTACTTCATTGCTTCACTTAGCTATGGGCCTAAGGCAGCCAGTGGATTCACTAGCCCTCTTTCAGCTGAATGCATGCTACAGTATAAGAAGAAAGCTGCGGCCTACATGAAGGCTTTGAGAAAGGTTTGTGAGCTGCTACTAGCATGTATTTATTTATTTTGAGTTGGGTGGTGTATCACAGTATGAATGTGGGGGTCAGAGGGCAACTTGCCAGAGCTGTCCTCTCCTTCTACCATACGGGGCTCAGGGATTGAGCTCAGATCCTTGGGCTTGTCGGGAAGCACCTTTACCTGTTGAGCCATCTTGCCAGCCTAGCTGCTAGCATTTAACTCAGAGGAAGCATGAGTAATTTGAAACTGGCAAGAGTTGTGGAGTGGTCCATATTTAGGTTTTATACAGTGTGGGACTCCAGGTCTTTGGTGGGCATTGGGGGACGGTGCTTAGAGAAGAGGTGACAGAAACCTTAACCAATGAGTAACTTTGCTTATATTCATAGGCCACATGAACTCATGTTCCCAATGGCTGGTGAGTGCCTGGGGTAAGGTCATCCAGCAGGCAATAAATGAAACTTCAGAAAACCTGAAACTTGTAGAAACAGAAAAAATAATGAAATATGTTTATAATTTTTTTCCAAATAGAGTAAGAATATGTGGACACTGGAAAAAAAAATAGAAAATACAGCAGAACATCAAGAAAATTATATTACCAAAAATCCCATCACCTAAATGTGACTATGAACCTTTTTAGAATGTATGCCAAAAATTAATGTATATAATCACATGCACATACACAGCCTATAAAGTCCAAAATGCACCTCTAGTTTGAATATGCTGCTTTAGAATCTTTTACTCTCTTACTTAATGCATTGGATGTATGTTCATATATATCTCTGTATAGTATGCATCTTAGCATAAATTGCTGTTATTAGTGATTACAGGCATGTCCTCTATGCCTAGCCAGCTGGTATTATTTTCATGCTTCTATAGCATTTCATTTTGTAAATGTGTAATATTTTAACCATTCTATTGCTGACAGATACATAAATTATTGCCCATTTTTCACTGTTATATACGGTGCTACAGTGAGTAAACTTTGTATTTTACTTTTTTCTTACTTTATAGAGTTTTAATTACAAAATACATATAAATATTCTTAGGTTAGATTAGAACATTCCAGGTACATTATCCTTAATTTCTGTTTCAATCCAGAGGTAACCATAGTTTCCAGCTTGGTGTGTATGCTCCAGGCTCCTTGAACACTTACAAATATCTCTATAAACCTTTTTCAATATATAGAATTCTTTCCTGTCTTTATTTTCTTAAACCCAAGTTTCATTATGCAATTTTCTTTTTTCATGTAGACTGTTTTAGTGCTCTGTCTGTGTCATTCTGTATGGGGCACCTACCATATTCCTCTTTAAGCACTGTATAGAATTTTACAATACAAATACTCTATGGTTCCTTAAGGTTTCTTTCATTGATGGACACTGAGAGGCCAGTTCTGGTTTTGCACTCTCATGGCACTACCATGGCCTTGTAAATGTCTTCTTGGACACATGGGTAGACTAAGAAGTAGAATGTTTGAAGCCATGTGGTTTGCACGTTTTAGTAGTTCCTGCTGAATAGTGTCTTCTCTGAAGGGAAGTCCTAGCATTGAGTGAGGCTGCCTAGCTCCCTAGATCTGCCTAATTGTTACATGCTTATGATTGGTCCCCCCAAATGGAGTTGATGATTCAAAGTCTATGAATGTTTCAAATGTTCCAGACTATACTTTAGGAATGTCACCTATTTATAGATTATGGAAGTCTCAGAGAGAAGGTCCTTATTGTTATTTTAATTTGCATCTCTGCTGACTAATGAGGAAGAGTAGCTTTTCATGGTTACTTTTGTTCTTCACTTCTCTTTTTAGGTCTTCTACCTAATTTTAAAAATTATTATTTATTTATCTTTATGTGTATGAGTGTTTGTCTGCTTGTATGTAAGTGCACCCATGCATTCAGTGCCCTCGCAGGCCAGAAGAGGGAAATGGATCCCCTGAAACTGGAGTTGAAGGTGGTTGTGAACTGTCGTATGGGTGCTGGGAACTGAACCCACATCCTCTGCAAGCCAGTGCTCTTAACTGCTGAACCATCTCTCCAGCCCCTCTGCTACCTATTTCTAAATAAATATTCCTAATTGGAATTGAAAAAGCTTCCTATATTTTAAAATTTTAGACTATCTTTTATTTATTGTTTGACGATTTCATACATGTATGCAATATATCTAGAACATATCCATCCCAACTCCCTCCTACTCCCCCTGGACACCTTCTATGGGGCTGGAGAGATGGCTCAGCAGTTAAGAACTCTGACTGCCCTTGCAGAGGACCTGGGTTCGATTCCCAGCACCCACATGGCATCATCCTTAACTCCAGTTCCAGGGGAATCCGAAGCCCTCTTCTGACCTCTGTGGCATTGCATGACATGGGTACGCTCACATACATACAGGCAATACACTCATACATATTAAAAAAAAAAAAAAACGCTTTGAGATTTAATCTACCCCAGTAAGAA